CATGGCAATTGGCGAACCTATCTCCTAATATCAATAGATTGCAAGATCAAATTCAACTAGTACTCCATATATATAAAAACAAAAATCGAGCCCGGTTATAAGAAAAGATCCCATGACCAGCCCCAGCCAAACCCGAGTGATACACGAAGCAACACGATACTCACGAGCTAAAGCTGAAACTTCAATAATCAGTGCAAAAATTTCCAATCAAAATTTTCAGTAACAAAAAAATTGGAAATCGTTTATTATACTAACAACATCAAATTTTGCAATAGCAATAAAACTACAACTTAGGGTTTAATTTAAAGAACCAATTATAATTAACAAAATTGTGCATAAATTACAAGAAACGAACCTGAATGAAACAACGGGGCCAACCTCTTCACAAATTTGAATCAGCTGTTCTTCAGTTGCATCATAAGGTATATTCCCAACTATTAATTTCCAAACAAAAATCGACCCAAAACAAAAATATGTTAATCAAACAATACAAAAAAAATCCAGATTTATGCAAAAATTAAAAGATAGAATGAGAAGAAAAGGGCGAACCGAAGACGCAACGATGTTGCTGAGAAGAGGCCATAAAAGGGAAGAAGAATCAATGAGACGAAGACATGGATGAGCTCTATTGACTGAATCTTCTCCTTTTGTGCATTATTTGGGAAAACTGCATCGAAATTGCAGAAGCTTGAGATTGGAGTTTCAGACAGGGGAAAGGAATACACAGGTTGACAGGTGTATACAAGTTTTGGGTCGAGAAGGTGAGTCCAAGTTTATGGGGCTGGCCCGGTTGATTGTTTGATATGTAGAGTGTTATGGTTGCGCGCTTGCGAACCATGAAGAGCGCCCGCGCCAGGTAGGCGCGGCTGCGTAGAGAGCGCGCCAAACCGCATACCTTTCTGGAAATTGTCAATTTGGAAGGATGAGGTGGCGCGGTCGCGCGTCTGGTGGCGCGCCCACGCTGTTGGTCGCGCATAAACCGCGCCCCTCACTGCCTTCTTGAGAAATTTCGCAACTGGGGTGAGGAGTGCCCGCTCCACCTTGATGAGCGCCCGCTCCTCCTGACAGTTGCGATTTCGTTTTCTTTTTAATTGCGAAATTAAAAGTATGATGCAGTTCATTCTTTGATTCTCTCTGATTTTCCTCTCCAAGAATACCCTCTTCTTCACATTTTCACTAAGAAACTTGCAATCTCTTGTTGAAATACTCCATCAATTAAGTTTATAATTGAGAATTTGATCGTCTTTCTACACATCTTTGTGCTTAGAGTGTAGTGTTCGTCTATTGTATCTCAAAGCATATTTCTGGTTCAACCCAAGCACCGTTGTGGGGGAAATTAACGCTTTAGGAAAGTGTTTACACGCCTTAGACGAGTATCAAGTGTTGAAGACTCACGTGGTCCATGGTATTCTCGTGTTCTTGGTTGTTCATTTGGCTTGGAGTGAGGCAAGTATAGTTCTTCATACTTGTAGTTTAGTTTGATTCTCTGTAATTTTTACTTCTAAACTTGTTGGTGTTTGGTTTGTTGGTGTAATTGGTATTATATTACTTTGTAATTTATATATCAATTTCATAGTTCTAGAATTTGTTTTAGTAGGAACATTTTTCCTAACAATCTAAAGCGTTAACAAACAACATGTCTAGTGTGAAAGAACTTACCACTAACTTTGTCAAACTCAAGAAGTTTGACGGTGTGGAATTTCGACGTTGGAAGAAGAAGATGTATTTTCTTCTTACTTCGTTGAAGGTTGCCTATGTGATTAGCACTCCTAGGCCGGTAGAACATGAGAATGAGACCGTGGAGGATGTTCGTGAGAAATCAAAATGGGATAATGATGACTTTATATGTCGGGGTCATATTCTCAATGGGATGGAGGATGATTTATTCGATGTGTATCAACATGTTGAGTCCGCTAAGGAGCTGTGGGAGTCTTTGGAGAGCAAATATATGGCGGAGGATGCTTCTAGCAAGAAATTCCTTGTAAGTAACTTTAATGATTTCAAGTTTGTTAATGGTAGATCAATTATGGATCAAATTCATGAGGTACAACGTATATATAGTAACTTGAAACAACATGGAATTAATGTTGATGAACTATTTGTTGTTTCAAGTATTATTGATAAGCTGCCTTCTAGTTGGAAAGATGTAAAACATGATTTGAAACACAAAATAGAGGACATATCTTTGTCCAATTTGGCTACCCATCTTCAGATTGAAGAAGGGATTAGGGCCATGGAAAAGGCTAAGGATGGGAATCCTAGCTCTTTTACCATCAATGTGGTAGATGAAGGAAAATCTGGTGCTTCAACTAGTGGAAAGAGGAAGAACGTTTATTCTTCCAAGGGAAAGTCCAAGAAAAAGAAGGACAATAACAACAAGTATGCTTGCTGGGAGTGCGGTAAGACTGGACACCGCAAGAAGGATTGCTACATTTTCAAGAAGAAAATGGAGAAATCCAAGGAGGGTCAAGCTTCTAAGAGCAAGGACTCATCCATCAAAGGTAATCCTTTACATGAGGTTGAATTTAATTCCGGTATGGATTAAAATGCAACGGATCCTAACATTTTTATGGTACAGGATGATGACTCATGGTGGATGGATTCGGGGGCTTCAAGGCATGTATGCAAGGTGAAGCATTGGTTCAAAACCTTTCACAAGGTTGTTGATGGTGAAGAGCTCTATATGGGGAACAACTCTTCCATCATGGTCCAAGGAAGAGGACAAGTTGAGCTAATGTTTAGTTCGGGCAATGGTATCATTCTTAGGGATGTATTATATGCTCCAGATATTTCTAGAAATCTTGTATCAGGCCCTACCCTGAATAGACTTGGATATAAACTAGTATTTGAAGCAGATAGATGTATAATTACTAGAGGTAGCACTTTTATAGGACGTTGTTACTTGACTCATGATTTGTTTAAACTCTCGTTAAGAGAGAAGTGTGTATTGTTGAATGATGTTTGTATGAATGTTGGTAATGACAATGGAGTGAATTTGTTTTATTTATGGCATTCTAGATTGGGTCATGTTAATTACAATAAGTTGAATTTCATGTCTAAACTAGAGTTAATTCCTCTATGCGATATTTCTCTTGATAAATGTTCTACTTGCATGTTGAATAAGATCACTAGAACTCCTTTTAAGAAAGTTGAGAGATGTTCTAAAATCTTAGAATTGGTTCATAGTGATTTATGTGACTTTTATAGTACACCTTCTTTGGGAAATAAAAGATACATAGTTACATTTATTGATGATTTTTCAAGATTTTGCTATGTGTATCTTTTATATTCCAAAGATGAAGCCTTGGTAAAATTTGATATTTATAAGAAAGAGGTAGAAGTGCAAGTAGAATCTTTAATTAAGAGATTGAGAACCAATAAGGGAGGGGAGTATTATGATCCTGCTTATTTCCAATTCTTTTCTTTCGTAGATGAAGTGCTCCGGGAAAGCTATATAATGCTTTAGTGGTAGAAAAGTATGGAGTTGTTCATATTGTACATTTACAGATGTGACCTTGTTTTATTGGGCATTAGTCTTTAAAAAAGGAATAGTTTGAAGGTGAATTTCTTACATCTACTATGTAACAACAATTTTAATTGAGTAGGCTCCATATGAACCTGAACATGCTGCATATCATCAAATTTCTAGATCCATTGATTCTTTGTAATGTTGTGCTGAATTTTTTCACTTGTTGCAGTTTTTAGTGTTTGATGGAATGCCTTTTAGGAAGATAGTGAGACGCAATGGGCGCTCCCTCAGAAGCTTGCAGACACTAGAACTTTGTGGGGATATTGGACTTCCAATTGACCTTGAGTTTGCCACTTATGTGTTCGAAAACTACATCATGCTCAAGGATGTGATTGTGGAGATCAAGCCTTTGGCGCCTTCACTATTAGGTGACGTTAGAGTGCACGATCAAGTTGCAAACCTTGAGAGAATAGTGCCTTAAGGTGTAAAGTTAACTTTAAAGGTGTTGGATGGATATATTTATTCTCGTAAGTAAACCTTAACCAGAGGTGGAGGACCGAAGCATATTTCTAATCTAGTCCTCTGTTGAAGATGGTTAATCATTTATTACCAAATAAAAAACATTTTACTGAGTAGTGTTCTTTTCTTTTATGGCGTTAGTAATTTGTAAGATTATTCTCACTACCATACATTCTGGATTTCTGGTAGTAGTGTTTATCATCCTTTTATGTTTTAATCAACTTAAAGGTTTTATTTAAGTATTTAAGCGATGGTTTTTTTTTTCACTGTGATCAAGGGTATGTTTTGTTTACCTTTTTTCACCTTTTTGCAGGTCTAATAAGATCGGATAAGTTTAGTTCCCAAATAAAAGTACAACTAAAATAAGTTTTAATAAGGTCTAATAAGTTTAGTGAAGTTTAGTTATAAAACACACATTAAATACAAGTTTGAATTATAATGGAAATCAACATCATTAGTATTATACATACCATTGACGAATTAAACCTCTCACCAAAACAAAATCTTACGTCTAACGCAAAATTCAGCATTCAAAACAAATTCAGTCTATTAAAACAATGTAAATAACAAGAAACATTGCAAATATTTCAACAATTATGAACTACATTGGTGCGAACCATTGAAATACACAGACGAAACTCACCTTTGAAACCCTAGCTCGCAAACTACCTTCACGGTTGGCCGCCTAAACGCTACACTCTCTTCTTTCTCCCTAAATTTCTTAGGATTCGCATCATTCCATTTACTCATTTCAAATCGAAGTAAATACAGTTCCATTTACCCTCTTCTTGCTTCGTAAATGAATTTTACTCACATGGTCAACTGAAATGACAAAAGGCAAGCGTTAACTAACATTCACTCTATTAATTTGGACTCAGGGAAAATTACAATGTTAACCCTACAAAAGTAACTGAAATAACTTTGCAACCATGTATAAACGAACCGAGTTAACATATATTACCCTCAGTTACTTTTTAAATGCAAAAAAAGTTGTTTTTTCCGAGATTGGACTACCCACAATCCCACATTGCTTAATGCTTATTGCTTCGAACCAAAGCTATATCTCTCTCTTTCTGCTCATTTTCTGGGTTGATCAAACACCCACTAAACAAAGAAAATATGGAAGCTGCAATGGGGTTGATGCGAAGGATTCATCCTAAGCACACTGACACCGCTCTCTCTGCTCTTCTTTCTCTCATGCCTGAGCATTCCTCTGATCTCCTCTCTCAAGTCGATCAACCTCTCCAGGTTTTGACCCCTGTTTCTGGAAATTCATCCACTTTTCTTTCAATTTCATGGATTTTTTTTTTTGCTTTTTACGGATTGGAAGATGTTTTATTTTGTTGGGTTTTATTTGATCTTGCTTGATTTTGACTTTCTGGGTTGTGGGTGTTTATCTTTGTTTAGGGTTTTAATTTTGTGTTTTGGGATTTGCTTTGTCTATTGATTTATGCAGAATTATGATTGTGGATTCATTTATTGTTGAATGTATTTAGAATTCTGTATTGATTGGGTTATATGAACAGTTTAGTAAGAATTTCTGGTGGGTTAATGCGAGAATGGTTATTGACTTGGAGTTAATTTTATGGGTGCATTCGTAACATAATAGAAATGATGTGCAGGTTTAATAAGAAACTTGTATGGGTGTGACATATATAATCACAAAGGGTTACATTTGTTGCCTCGAATCGGATCTTTAGCATTTGCAATCTTGGGCTGCTTTATGTAACACCATCGTACATTGCGACCCTTTCACTTCAACCAAGCCGTAGAGGATTATTTTTGAGTGTACTATCAATCGATGTAATTGAGCATAACTTAGAGAATATGAATCAGTGGGGTTTTCTATATGCTTGTAACTCTTCTGTAATCAATGTATTGAGTTTATTGCAACTATTCTTGCCCTTTGGATTTGTTCAGGTTTGCTTGTGATTTCTAAATTCTATATACAAGTACTTGATAGATTGAAAGTCAATCCTATTGGATGCTAATTCTGAGTAGTGTGTTTGATCATGAATTAACTTAAACTTTTAATAATTACAGAGTATATACTTCCTGATTGTTAGTTCCCCTTCTAGATGTTTGAGTCCGCTTTTCCAAGCATCATTTTGAAGTTATCCTGGATCACCCCCAAAAACAAACGGGATCCCTAAAGCTTTGGTTCTTCTTTAATTGCTTTAGCCTACAAAAGTTATTTGCTTATGTTATGGAATCTCCTAGTGGTGGTTGGAAATGAATCAGAACTTTCTTATGCGGCATTAGAGATTATTGCTATTCATGGCAGTCCTTTTCTCACAATAGAGTGTAAGAAGCTTGCATGTTAATATACTAACAGTTCAAAGAAAAGATAATTAATCTGTTAGAATTATGGATGATATTAGATTATTAGCCGGAAATTATACGTTCTACTTTAATTTGGATGATTTTTTTGTTTTTTTTTTTTTTTTTATTTTTTCTTCTGGTAAACTGAGTAATTTTCATTTTGTATAAATTCTCTTCTGGAGGCTTTTAATTGAGTATCTTGCTAACTTTTAGCTATTTTATTGTATCACATCGTCTTTTGCGCAATACTGTCATATATGTTATGGGTATCCAGGATGTCAGATTAAGTAGATTATTTTTCTGGTTTGAGGAAGCAGGTTTTATGTGATCAAGAAAGTGGAAAGGAGTTCATATTGTGCGAATATAACAGAGATGCTGATTCCTACAGGTGAAAAAGTTAACTGACATGCATTATTTTCTTACTCATTTATATTATCAATACATTTTTAATTCCTTAAACATATTGTACTATTTACTTGTCTTACTTTCTGCCTTCTTTCACATATGTTGTCTGAACCAAGAGTTGACCATTCAGATTATAAATCAAAACTATAGATTTTGTTTAGGGGCTTTTCGTGATGCTTTCTAGTGTAGTATAGATTTTCCCATTGCAGCGTAATCCATGTTCATATATATGTGTCTTCTGATTGTAGAAGGTATTACTCGTTTTTTATTTTATTTTTATTTTTTATCTTTACCATTAATTCAAGTATTGCATCAGTGATTTGTGCTTAGCTCATTGACAATTCTGATATTCAATAGCACAAAGTACAAAGCTGATCTTTGTTATGTGTTCAATATGCCTCTCTGGTTAGTGAGTCCATTGACAAACAGAAAATTTACTTCATTGGTTCCTCATAGTTGCAATACTGGCATTTTTTCAGATGCCATGGTGAATCTGTACATAGCTCTTAGCCTGTTGAGTTGATGCTTGTCCTAGTGAATGTTGTCACTTCTAACTGTTTTATGTAGCACTGTTTTAAAGCTGTAATTCAATTTTGTTTCCCTTTTTTCATTATAAGTCGCCATGGACAAATAAGTACCAGCCACCGTTGGAGGATGGCCTTTATCCTTCTGTAGAGCTGAGGAACCTCGAAATTGAAGCCAATGATGTTTTCGCCGTATATTGTGACCAGTGAGGTCCTTTACTTGCCTCGTACTTGGTTTTCTAGTTCAGTGGCAATGCTAATTACTGTCAGTATTCTTTCTGTTTTTTTTTTGTCCTTTTGTTCTAGGCCCCTTCCATTTATTTCTTCTTTCTTCGCTGGTTTTTGAAGGGTTTGAGGGAAATAAATTATCTTTTATTGCTAGGTATTGTGAAGGTGGAATTTCATCTGTTTATATGTGGGAAGATGATAATGAAGAATTTGTCGCATGCTTCTTGATAAAGAAAAGTGATTCTATACCTTTTTCCCTGGGTGAATCTTCCCTTAACTGAAATGAAAAGAAGAAAAAAAACTAAATTGGGTCACTCAACATTCAGTTCTTGCTTGTGCCTGTTTGTGCTTTGTGGGAGGGGGGGGGGGGAGTTGACAAATCAAATTTATGAGGGTAATGCATACTAGTTTTCAATATTTGACTGCCCTGTGGACTCATTCTGTGTATTAGATTTTTTCTACTGATCTTCTACTTGTGAACTACAATTCTATGCAACCTCATTTTATTTTACCATTTTCCTTTTCCCAAAGATCGTTCCCCATGTCATTTACTCATCAAGCACCAAATTATTTCAAATGATAATATAGGTGGGACCTGAGGATGAAGGAACTGCCAGGTACTGTTTAACCAGTACTGTCATGCTATCTTTGACTACAAATAGTGACTCCTGCGGGACATTCAGCTTATCTGGATCTATTAGAAGACAGGTAATGTAACTTGTTCTGCAAACGGAAACTGTGACCATTATAATCTCAACTTTACACTGTGTTGCCCCTTCGATATGATCATGTTAAGCTGTTTAGGGGTGAGCAAGGATCGAATATCCGATCCGAAAATCCAAATATTTGATGTTCGATATCCGATCCGAATATTTCGGATATCCGAAATCCAGATATCCGAAATTTTCGGATTTTCGGATCGGATAGTCCGGATATCCAATATCCGACCCTTTTTTATAATATAATTAAAATTCTAATTATTTGGCAAAATTTATTTGTTTTTAAAGGCCGATAGAAATTACCAATGTAATCAAATTGGTGACTGCAAAATCAAATTCTTAATTACCAACTACAATTATACATATTTTTGAAGTTATTAATTCCACAAATTACAAAATATGATAATCCCAAAATTTCAGAATCTAAAATCAACGATAAGTTGTCGCCTGATGGTTAAGTGAGAACGAACGGTGAGTTGCTGGTTGTGAGGTGAAGCCGCGGAGGTTGTGAGAACTACCAGAAATCTGGGCAAAAATAGGAACAATATTGTCCTATAAAGAGAAACTAAAATCAAGTTTCTAATATCAAATAAACTTCAAATAATTTCAAATTCAAATAAATTTATCATCAACAACAAATCGCATAAAGATCGAACACAAAACACAAAAACAACAAATCTGGCATAAAACACCATAGATCTAAAAATTAAACTAACAAAGAAGCAGATTCTCACAAACATCAACTGACTTAAAAATTAAACTAAGAAAAATAGCATAGATTCTAATTAAACGAACTCAACTCAACACAAACATCAAATTTCTCACAAAACAACATGAAATTAACAAAAAAAACCGAAGCAAAAATGATAGATCTAGAAGGAGAGATTACCTGAAAAGGAGATTACAAATAAAACTAAAGCAAAAACGATACGAAGGAGAAGAAGGAGAAGTTTTAAGAATGAGGGAAAGAAAAGGGTGGAGCCGTGGAGGACTAGAGATGCCGAGGTGAAGGAGAGAGAAAGGAATTTGAAAGAGAGGAAGAGAGAGAGAGAGAGAGAGAGGGGAAGAGAGGAGGGGGGCGTTGGGGGGGGGGTGTGTTTGGGCCTTGGGCGATTTATATTGGGGTCACAAATTTTAGGGTTTGGTGATTTTATAACAAGTAAAACACGATAAGGACCAATGAATCATATGGTATAATGAGTCATTTCTTCGGATATCTGATCGGGCGATATCCGATATCTGACTTTTTTTTCGTATATCGGATATCTGAAATCCATATTTTGGATATCCGATATCCGAATTTTTGGGATCGGATATTTATAATTTTCGGATCGGATGCGGATCGATCATCGGATTTTCAGATAGTTTTACTCAACCCTAAAGCTGTTTGACTGGTTATTATCATACAGTGATCACTGGGGCAAGTACCAGAATACTTCATAATTTTCACTTAAATCCTTTTTCTAGGTTTGTACTTAAGTTTTCTATTCGTGTTGTAGATGAGTATGCAACTGTCAATGGCCGAAGGTCATCTTTGTAACATGGGAAAAATGATTGAAGAATTGGAAGGCAAGCTTCAAAACTCACTGGATCAGGTACTATGCATGACTGAAAATTTGATGCTTTTGATAGTTTATGGGACATGCCAGTTCAATGCACCCACTCGACACCTAGACGCGTTGCTCTATGTTTATGTTTGAAGTGGGCAGCTTTATACCTGTGCATAGTCTCACATTCTTATATAGGATATCTAGAAAAAATTGTTACATTTGCTTAACAGTAATGGTTTATATGATTACATTTTCTGGTATGCCATCCTTAAACTATTCAGAATATGATGGGAAGGGGAAAATAATACAGTATGCATTGTTATGGTCACCGTAAGTATTAGGGTTGGGTTGGGAGACTTGGACAATGTGATGACTAATCTGGGAAGGAGGAAGTATACTTAAGAATGTTTTACTGAGCTAGTATGTTATGCTGCTGAATCTGAATAGGTTTACTTTGGGAAGACAAGAGAGATGGTGTGCACTTTGCGGCCACCTGCTGAATTGGCAACTATGAAACTGCCTGATAGCTGATTTGTTTGTCTTGGAATTATGATCAAAGTATGATATTGTGGATTATTAGTGTATTATCATCATTTATTTGAATATCTGGTTATGTGTTCCAGAATTTGGTTGAATTGTAATTCAATATCCTCTTGTAGACTTTTCCATTTTGTTGGCTCTCGCTTAATTCTTGAAATTGTTTTTGGTTCTATGATATTACTTGCGGAGCTTCAGCTTGCAATTTGTATTACTGTTTTTTCTTAAAAAATTTATTTTATGTGTGCAATGCATTTATGGTTGATTTCTTGAGTAAGCCAGATAAAAGATTGGAGTTAGTTTCTGGATGTTTTTGTCATTAATCAAACATAGATTGAATATAAGATAAATACATTACAATACTTACAAAAATGTAGAAAGGTTGCTCTCAAAATACGAAAATTCTACTGTGGTTCAGAAAATAGGCACAATTGTTATTGACAGAAAGTTTGCATAAATTTCAAAAACTAGAAAAATTTTGAGTTTCCACAATTTATGTTTTATTGTGCAATATCTTAAACTTAAATTGGTGTATTTGAAGAAAATGGAGGATATGAATGTGCCTAGGCATGAGGTTAGAGTTAGACAAAGAAATCAAAAGATTTGAATATGGAGAGAGAAATTGCCAAAAAAAAAAAGATGTATTGTTGTGACAATTTAGTCTATTAATTTAGTCCCCCACCCAAATCTTTAGCCACCTACCTTCTCTCTTTCTCTCTCCAGACAACCATCCACCAAATTTCTCACTTCCTTTTCTCTTTCCTCTATGAACCACGGTTTTGGTGATGGCATGGATGGTCGGGGTGGTGGTTTTACTTATGGAATTGTTGCACGGTGAGGGATGGTAGTTGTGGTGGTTGGTTGTGAAAAGGGAGTTGGCGAGGAGAGAGTACAGGGAGGCAGTTTTGACAACGGTGGTAGTGGTGGGGGAGGAGAGAGAAAGAAGTGGTGGTTAAAGGGAGTACGCGGTGGCTGCTTTTGGTGTTGGTGGTGGTCAAAGCGTTCCAGGGTGAAGAAAATGAAGGTGAGTGGGGATTTCGGCCGGGTGTCGTGGTGGTGGTTGTGGGATGTAGTGATGTTGGTGGGTAAGTGGGAGGGGGAGGTAAGGTGGGAGTGAAGGAGGACTTTTCTCCAAAGTAAGCCATTTTTTATAAATATCTACCAAAATGGTTGCGTGGCAAAAGTATTTACCAAACTAAGCTTCCAGGCTAAAACGCTGTCCGAGACAGCATTTTATGCCCTGGTGTTTTTTTTTAATTAAAAATTCTACTCGGGACAGCGTTTTTAGTTGTTGACTTTTTTGTAATTTTTTTTTGTAATTTTAGATATTTTAACATTAAAAGGGGGAAAAAATAGTAAACACATAAAACGCTGTAAAGTGACAGCGTTTTATATACGAAGTTTTTTGTACATAAAACGTTGTCTCAGACAACATCTTATGTACAACATAAAAGACAGCGTTTCTCTGCTGATCTGCAATGCACCAGCAGTTTGCAGCATTGTCTCCAATTTCTGCCCCAACACACCACCCCCTGCCTTGATTTAGCCACCACAGTCAACCACCACCCCCACCACCAACCCCTACCATCGACCACCACCTTACGCCAGTTTCGACCACCCTTATGCACTTCTAAACAGTCCAACTACCCCCAACAACACTTCAACCACCTCCACCACCAGCCCCAACCTTTCCAACACCACCAGCCCCAACCTTTCCACCACCGTCGACCACCACCCACCACAACCAACATCACTAAACCACAATGAAGCACCATATCACTAAGTCCGGTTTGGATAAATAAGGAAAGTAAACATCAAACCACGCACAGATTCATTCAACAAACATGTATTATATTAATAATGTAATCGTTATATACATCATTCTAGAAAATGTTTATCTACAACAAATAAATCATACGACACTATCCCTACTCATCAATTTGGGATGAAGGGTCCCTAGGCTGATCGTCGTCCGTGCGTCTACGACGCCGAGTGTAATGGGAAATGGTGGTGAATGGGTCTCGGCGCGGTGGGGGAGTGAGCTGGCTGGACGATGTGTCCTCCTGACTCCCGAGGGCGCAGTAGTGTGGATGGTGTACTCGTCTGCGTCTGTGGGTGTCGTATGATCACCTCCACTGCTACTCTGGCCGGGGTCGAACTGTGCCTGGAAGGAGGATCCACTATCTTGACCGTCCCGCTGGTGGATGAGATAACCGTGACCATGTCTCTATAAGGAAGTCACGGACATATCTCGCATACGCTCGAGCTGGGCTCTGTTGGGCCCGTCTGCAAGGGCGAGTGACAGTGCATCAAACATCGACACCATATCCGCCGCCTGCAGTAATCATCGGTCAGTTAGTTACATGATATATTAAAAAATAAAACATGAGGACGATAAGTACAATAAAAGCAACTCACATATCCGTGAATGACGTCATGTGCTGGCTGGTAATGTGTGGACGGTGGTGTGTAGCTGGGGTTGATGAAACAGCGTGTAATACGCCTGTACCACACCATGTATGGATCGTGAGGATCCATATCGCCCTGCATCGGGTCACCGCCAACGACGAACTCCAGCCGTTGCTGCCATAGCTCAAGGAAACGCTAATGCTCCAATGCCCAGTTCGTCTCCCCCTTTCCCCGACGGTCAATGCCGTGAAGGCGTACACTAGTGTCACAATGCTGGGGAACAGGCTGGCGTAGTTGGAACTGTTGTATGACGCGGTCGGGTAGGTGACTCTCCACGACCTCGAAACAAATCAGGGGGACTCTGGCACGCCACTCTGCCTGATGATCTAGTAGATGTGCAGGCATGGCATCTACCAAAGCCGGTTCATACGGATCCCAGGTGATCTGCAATAACACATCAAAATAAATATTATAATTAAGTTAGTCCACATACGGTATACACAGCACATAATTGTTTACAAATATCTAAAAAGTTTCCACCTGCTGCTCAGTGAGTCGATCAAGGGTGTCTCGGTAGTATGGAAGACCCGTCGCCGCATGCGCCTGTGTGAGTCTGGGGACCACCCACCTATGGTAACAAAATTGTTTTGTTTGTTAGCAAAATGAAACCGTATGGGGGCAAAAAAGACTGCCAAATGTTACAAACCTGTAACCGTAAGCCTCATCAGCTGCAGGGAGCGGTGGAGAGATGTACGGCTCATACTGGTTATCCCTGTCCTGTTGTCCTCGACGATGTACAACAGGCCTACCTGGTCTTCCTACGTGGATGTGCTCCCAAGCCCATAACTGCAACAACAAAATACGTAGCTATGTTAAGTATGATCCGTGGTGATTGCCTAAATAGATAGTGAAAACTAGGTTGTTTACCTGAAGCACGATCAGAGGTCCACAGATCTCGACTGCACCACTTTGGGAGGCCCTACAGAGGTTGCGATACAACATCGCCAAACAAGCACTACCCCAGCTGTATCCACGGATATGATCCCAGTCGTGGTCTAACAGCTGTTGGTAAATAAGCTGCATATGGCTCCCGATCTTGTTCCTAAACAACACGCCGGATATGAGCAAGAACATGTATGCTCGAGCGTATCTCTGAACTATGACGTCATCAGCGTACGCAGGCATGTGACCGAAAGTATCTCGTAACCAGTCGGTCCTCAACCCGGAGCCACGGATATCGTCGGGACCAGGCTGCACCCCCAGAACCCGGACTACCAAACCAGCTGGATCGACTATCGCAGATCCTGTCACCACAGTCCCATGCACAGGAAGGCGCGTCAGTATCGCGACGTCCCGCAATGTAACAGTGGCCTCCCTAACTGGTAGATAGAAGGAGTGCGTCTCCTGCCTCCATCTCTCCACTAGCGCAGTGACAAGCTGTCGGTCGATCTCCCTGAACGCCACCCGATGAATACCGCCAAAGCCAGCGTACGCGACGTACGCAAGACAACGTTCATCGACAACCCAGCCGCCTAGAGCCCGGGTAGTGTAGTGCTTGCAAATCAGCGCCTTCGCTATGTCACCCTGAAAAAGCATGATCCGTTTGTAATTAATATTAGATAGTACATCAATGAATCTAGAAAAGTAACAGAAGAAATATTATCGTCTGGTTCCATACATCGACGCTCCGATGTGTGTCCTGCAGAGTCAGGACAGAAGGGTCAAGGGGTCCGGGCTTCCTATCCTGTCTGTGCATGGTGTCTGTTCATTGAAAACGTTACATAATATACACCAACAGAATAACTGGAATAGCAATGAGAACGAGGAAATAAAATGGACGGTTTTTTACAACAGCCAAACATATAAAATATCCAAGTGACATACAAATCATCCAAGTGACCGCAATTTTCAAAATAACACTACTAGATACAACTACATCAAATAACAAATATAAACTAAGGTCCTATGTCGGTCTAGATGGACAAGTAGTTCGGTTGTGACCTTGCTGGTGACAACGACTGCATTTGGTCGGAGGCCGGTTGGTGTCATCCATTTCATTGCGTATGCGCTTCGACCTTGGACGACCTTTTCCACGAACCATGGTGCCGTCCGGAATGAGTTTAGGGCCTACGTACTGTGCCCACTGTGCTCAGGTTGTCTCGCAGGGGATAGGCCAGAACTGCGGTGCATAGGTGTTCGTGTAGGCGGCCGATTGCAGCAAAGGGTCCACCCAAGGCCGCTCCGAAAGTGAATACGCCGCACAGACTGCTTAAACATGAGAACATGAGAGTGGAATATCTTCGGTTTGTTTCATGTACACGTTCTCAATTGCCGGTTAACAGTATGCTTGTGGCCTCCTTTCCTACCAGTTCGCTCTCCCCTCTCTGTTGTCACTTGGTAAATATGCAAACGACGATATACGCATCCACTCTATGATATCTGGCTTTTGCGGTGTTTTTCTCCAGGATCGCAGTGACCTTTGTGGGGTATGGAAGTCCCTGATCAGACCTAGCCTCGGAAGACTCTCTTCTCAAAGTGAAATACTTGTTAACTCTATGGAAGGTTAACTCGACAAGGGACATGATCGGTAGAAACCGAGCTCCCTTCAACACGTTATTAAATGTTTTAGAGAAGTTTGTAGTACATATCCCATATCTGCGACCGTTGTCGTGAAAGAGAGACCACATAGTGAATAGGACTTGAGCAATGTACTCCATGGCCTTCGTACATGCCTCACCAATGAAACACAGATCAACTTGAAGTTTTCTTTCCTGCCTTTGGTACGCCGCAGCCTTGAACATATCTCTCATGTCGTTACTTCGCACGTGAGTGTTCAAGTTAGAAGCTATGTGGCGGACACAAAACCTGTGATAGGCTCGCGGCTCGGTGAATCCTACATTAGGATCATTTATTGCTGCAATGATCCCAGGATGTCGATCAGATATAACACAAAGGCCATCCCGTTGCGTGACACGATCCCGAATACAGCCCAGGAACCAAGACCAGCTGGATGTGTTTTCCCCTTCAACCACCGCAAATGCTAGAGGAAATACCTGAAAGCTTGCATTAACACTAGTAGCAACCAACAGTGTTCCTTTATACTTCCCGTACAAGTGCGTTCCATCGATACAGATAACAGGCATACAATGTTTAAAGCCGTCAATACAAGGACCGAAGGCCCAAAACACTCGTTCAAACACTTCCATGTTGCTGTAGTATACACCGTCCACCAAAACTTTGTGTTTCCATACGACACATGTTCCCGGGTTTGACCGGAGGAGTGCTTGCATGAAGTGCGGAAGTCTGCCGTAAGAACTCTCCTAATCCCCAAATATTTCAACTATAGCTTTCTCCTTGGCATACCACGCTCGTCGATAAGGGACATCGAAATGAAATTGCCTGGAGATGAGGTCCTGGATGAATTCAACTTTCAAAGACGGATCTTTCCGCACAAAGGACTTCACATACTCTGCTATTATGGACGAATCCAAGTGTGGGTGATCAGTAGATAGTACTTCAGTGACACATGTCTCCCGATGCGGGCCTTTGTACGTGACTATGGTAAAACCACGGGAGTGCTCACTGGATTTGGTACCCCGTAGCATCCAACCACATTTCTTCTTGCATCGCAGATGTAGGACACCATCATTCAAGGTCACTATGGTGTAGAATTGATTCCTCTGTATAGAATACATCTTCACCATTTCTTGAAGTATTTTCTTGCTTTCAAAATACATTCCCTTCTCAAATTCCCCCCAGGAACAAACGATGTGTGGCTACCCGATTCGGTCCAATACTGATCAACTTCATAGTTCTCGGGGACCTCACTGAACCAGGGTATGGGAGTTCTAACCAAGGGCTCGACAACTTCCATCTGTGCAGGTTCATCATCCTCCTCTCCGTTCTCGTCCTCATCATCCATTTCCGCATACACATCATACACCGACAATTCATTATTCACAATATCATCAAAATAATTTGCCTCTTCTCGAGACGGTGATGCTTGAACATCATCTTGCATAGGCGAATAGCTATACAATTGCATCGGTGAAGATGCCACGGTGTTCGATGACGACGGACTAGGTTGGCCGAACATTGTCACACATCCCCCCGCATGTACTGGTGAAGCTATATGAGAACTTAACGACAAGTGAAATTGGTCGTCCTGCATCATTCAGAGTGACGGATCCCATCCCATATTCATTTGATGGAATGTGGTTTGAGGGCACTTGGAAGGGCGCGGTGTTGTAATCAGAGACATATGTAGCTTGCTGTTCTGCCCGAGTACTTTGTTGGGTACATATAGGCATCGTTTCTACATATATCTCATTGGGAACACCCTTCATTGCAACAATGCTCCTCAAATCTTTCAAATGTCTGTTCGTAGAGACAGGTAACACTTGAACCCCATGACCAGTATCAAACCTCATTTTAATGTTCAGTTCCACATTCATTGGGTTTGAACCAATACTACTATGAACCTCGTTCATCAAATCATTACTGTCATGTTCGGTTCAAGTGTTAGTGGTTCCATATTCCCTCCACTATACTCAACATTTGATCCATCGCACAAAATTTCACCTCCCCAACGCCATAACAACACTACATTTTGTCCTGTCATATTCTACATAACAACCAAAACACATTTTACTTAAAGCCATTAAATCATCCCTAAATCACCACAATCAAACAAAAAACGTTTACATACTTTACAAATTAACTACTAAGAACCCCTAAATCACCATTATTACACAACAATGTAGGTTACTACAATTGTTCAAAATCTAATAACTATCAACCATTTTCAACAATTTTCAACATAACCAACAACAACAATTCAACATTATCCAAACTATTATCAACAATAACAATATCAACACTACCATTATCAACACTAACAATTCAACAATTACCAACACTAATAATTCAACAATACCAACACTAACAATTCAACATTATTAACGCTAACAACTCAACCTCGTCAACATTTTAACCCAATTCCAAAAAAATTAGAAATCACCAACATAAACCCTAGAATTTAAAAAACAAAGAGAGTTGAATGACTACCTATTTCGGGGTGAGGGGAGTGTATAGTGGGCTTCGACGTCCGGAAGACGGCGGGCGATGGTGGAGGTGGCGGCGGCGCAGCGGTCTAGACGGAGGAGCACAAGTATGAGAGAGAGAGGGATTAAGTTAGAGTTTGGGAAAGAAGGGGTTTGAGAATGAAGGAGGAGGAAATGAAATACGCTGCCTGCTGAAGGGAAAAAAAAAACGACAGAAACGCTGTCTTAGACAGCGTTTCATTAAGAACCATAAACGTTGTCTGAGACAAAATTTATTGTTGAGCGTTAAACGCTGTCTCAGACAGCATCTTTTGAATAACTTTTTCTTTTTTTTTAAAACATTTTTTTAAATAAAAGGTAATTACAAAAATTTCAAAAAAAAGTCAACAACAAAAGTCGCTGTCCCAGACAGCGTTTTTAAGTTGAATTTTTAATAAAAAAAAACCAGGGCATAAAACGCTGTCCGAGACAGCGTTTTACCCTGGAAGCTTAGTTTGGTAAATACTTTTGCCACACAACCATTTATGTATATATTTTGCTACTTAAGCTTACTTTGGGAAAACGTCCAGTGAAGGAGGTGTTCATGGAGGAAGGATGAAGGAGGTGGTCATGGAGGAAGGATGAGGAGAGAGAAAGATGTGGGGTGGGTTTTTTTTTTTTTAAAGAAAAATATAAATTAAAAAATAAACCAATAAGAAAATGACACGTAGGCAAGGCAATCGATTAATACCGGCTTGGTGACCTGCTGTGTTGATATGGGAAGATGGGGGGTAAAAGGTTGGATTATTTTGAAATAATCCAAAGGTTGGTTTATTTTGTAATCCAAAGGTTGGTTTATTTTAAGAGAATGGGGAAAATGTTGAATTATTTAAAGTAATTTTTCCTTAAAAAAATTGTGATAAACTACCTTATAAATAGTTTTTGTGAAACTATATTATAAATATAATGTGTGGCAAAATTACTACTTCAAAATGAAAGAAGGGATGGAGAAGGAAGAAAAAGACAGAAAACAAAAGGTAGTAAAGAAGAGAAGGGAGAAATTTGGGAGCCAACAAAAGGAAGGATGGGAGAGGGGGGATGGGGGTGGTTAACTTTGAAGGTTTAAGCCAATGAGTAGTATTCGAGTATACATTTCATGTTTCTCCATATGGGGTTATACGAGTATAATGTGCTTTATAATGTAGTTTATGATAGATTTTCCTATCTATCAAATATTTTTTCATACATATTGATCTTAAAAACCAAGCTTGGCTAAAATTAATTTTAGTTTAAAGAAGAAAAAAAGATTGCAGTCTAGCATTTTAGTTGTTGAAAGAGACGGGGAGCACTGAAATTAGGAGCTTAGGAAGGATTGTATGTATCATGTAATATTTTTTATTGGGTGTTAAGAGAGCTACAAAAGTCTTTCAAAAAAAAAACTACAAAAGCAGGTAAAGAGAATTGATCTTGGAATCCCTAAAATCGAAAGAGAAGTTCTAACGTATTAAGTTGTCCTTCACATTCATCATGTAAAATTTATAGTTGTGAAAAGAAAATTTTTTCATTATAATTTTTGGAGAAAAGCAATAGCAAATTCATTGTATCAAAAACTTTTATATTTTCATTTCACTAAAATACCTCAAGACTTAAAAGAGAAAAAAAGTAGAATTTTGTAAAGTAAATTCTCATCCTGAGAGAATCCAATGTAATCTTAAAATCAAATGAAGGGCTTTAACCTATCACCAAATCTTAAATTTATTGTGATATTTGCGGGAAACATGATGAGGATCAGCAACATCCGTTTTGATTTTGCAAACGTGTGATGGATGCATGGAGGGGTGAAATACTACAAATTCACTTAGAAGCTAACACAAGTCAGTCATTCTTTGATTGGGTTCCAACGAAATTAATTTAAAATTTACTTTAATAATTTAGGTTTAAAATTTCGTAATTAATTTTATTTTAGAACAATTACAAATACAAATATTTCCCTTAGTGAGGAGGTTTCTTATTTTCCTTTCAAAAAAAAAAGAGAAAGTCTTATTTTTATTTTTCTTACTTTCGTGAAAAAAAATACAAATACAAATACGGTACTTTGTATAATGCACCACAGGGGCAACATCATTAGGTGATTAGCAAAAACTAATGCAACGATTTCATGCCTCTTTAGAATTTGAAGAGAACATTAACAAACTAGATGTTTTTAACCTGTCCAAATTTTTTTAACACTAGTTAATTTTTTTTTTTTGAACTTCTCATATATATATATAACAAATTATATCAATCATATTCAACTAAACGTTCATTGATAAGCCTCAATAAATGCTTCATTTGTGGTTGTAGACAAGTAATTTGTCAATAAAATTCAATTTTTCTTCACGATTGTAGACATTACTTATCATTCAAATTAAATATGAAATTCATTTAGATCATCAGCCATACTTGAACCGAACATTCATAGGATCAGTGACAGCCATAGTTGAAATGAACCTTCATGCAATCATTGATGAACATCAAATCAGCCATAGTCGTAATGAACCATAATAGGTTCATTGATGAACATCAAAGCAGCCATAGTAGTAGACAATATCTGCCTGGTCGATCAAACACCTGATCAATTCTTCAATCATGCAGACATGTTAATGCTGCCAACGGCTCTATACTACTCATGATCCATGGAGAAATAAGAATAATCTTCTAGCTAACTTGTTCAAGCTAGCTTGAAAGTTACTGTTAAACAAAGTTTGGCTAATACACCCACAATCCGAGAGATGGATATTAATAATAAAATTTAAACCTCACGAGAAACAAAGCTCACGTTAATCTCAATTACACAAAGATATCTGCCCTTTCAAAGTTTTTGAAGTTGTGACCATAAGGCAGACTTCCAAGAAATGTGTATGGAAAGCATAGAAAGTTCCGTTGTAGAGATTTACGGTATAGTTATTGGAACAATATCGTAAATTCCACAATTCTTTCCACACTGACTTATCATCTTGGGATGATGCCATCAAAGTGAAAAGTCCATTAGGTAGAATTAAAAGCTTCTGCCATTCAAATGTCATTGCGAATAATCAAGCAAGCCACTTTTAGCCATTTCAAGGTTTGCACTCAACCTACTAACTGAGTTATTGACCTTATCTACTATGAGTAAAACAGTAGGC